TCATATGGGATGAACGTATTATTCATTTAAATATATTGTCAGTGGGTAAAAAAAGAAAACATGGGTCTACACTTTTTCCTTGCCCTTGCTCAACATCAGTTTCCGGTAAATAGCAATAAGCAAGTGTACTGCAGCTTTGAAAATTACCAGCAAATGTCAAAACTTGTTAGCTATGATAAAACAGATCTTCATGCACACACATGGGTTGGGACCGTTGGGATCATAACTTACACAAAACCCCTGGGCCACGTTACATGTGCCTTTGCATGCAGTATGACAAAGCTGTGTTTCACCTGATAACAGCAATATCACTATGGAATGATTCTTGAAATCATTATAGAGAAGTTGATCAAACATTTGGCAAAAACATTGAATTGCACACAAATCATTGCTGTACATCATTTCTGACCATTTTGAAATGTTCTGTTAAGTGCGGACGGCCCGGGGGCAAGGCAGAGTTCAAAAAGGGAGATTCGGGCGGACGGCCCGGGGGCAAGGCAGAGTTCAAAAAGGGGAACTCTGGCGGACGGCCCGGGGGCAAGGCAGAGTCTAAGGTGGGGGACTCGGGCGGCCGAGCATGAGGGCGAAGGCAGCGGCAGGAAGAGTCAGGACATAGGGTTGGCAGGACCCCCGGCAGGAGAGTAGTCGGCGGGACCCCCAACGGGACAGGACATAGGGTTAGCAGGACCCCCGGCAGGAGAGTAGACGGCGGGACCCCCAATGGGACAGGACATGGGATTGGCAGGACCCCCGGCAGGAGAGTAGTCGGCGGGACCTCCAACGGGACAGGACACGGAGCCGGCAGGACCCCTAGCGGAACCTCCATCGGCACAGGACATAGGGTTGGCAGGACCCCCAGCAGAAGAGTAGTCGGCGGGACCCCCAACGGGACAGGACATAGGGTTGGTAGGACCCCCGGCAGGAGAGTACTCGGCGGGACCCCCAACGGGACAGGACATGGGATTGGCAGGACCCCCGGCAGGAGGGTAGTTGGCGGGACCTCCAACGGGACAAGACACGGAGCCGGCAGGACCCCCAGCGGAACATCCATCGGCACAGGACATAGGGTTGGCAGAACCCCCAGCGGAACCTCCAACGGCACAGGACATGGGACTTGAGTGGAGACTCGAGAGGAAACTTGAGAGTTGACTTGAGAGGGAACTTGAACGGAGACTTGAGAAGGGAACTCGAGAGGGAACTCGAGAGGTGACTTGAGAGGGCTCTCGAGAGGAGACTTGAGAGGTGACTTGAGAGGGCTCTCGAGAGGAGACTTGAGAGGTGTCTTGAAAGGGAACTTGAGAGGGGACTCGAGAGGAGACTTGAGAGATGACTTGAAAGGGAACTCGAGAGGGGACTCGAGAGGGAACTGGAGAGGAGACTTGAGAGGGAACTGGAGAGGAAACTTGAGAGATGACTCGAGAGGTGACTCGAGAGGAGGCTCGAGAGGTGACTTGAGAAGGCCCAGGAGAGGAGACTTGAGAGGAGACTTGAGAAGGCCCAGGAGAGGAGACTTGAGAGGGAACTTGAGAGAGGACTTGAGAGGGGACTTGAGAGAGAACTTGTGTCGGCCGGTATGCCGACAGGACACTGGGAGCTGGCGTCGGGCGGACAGCCAACAGCAGACGAGGTGCTGGGACACAAAAAAGAGGAGGGAAGGAGTCGACACCAGAACAAACATACAGACTAATCACACAGACCTAAATTCAGACCAAGAAAAGCCCAGACCGAAACAGCCAAGGCTAGAACACTATCCGACAGGAGCCGCTCACAGAGACAAGTCAAGAAAAAATCTCAAAATCGGAACTTTATTTCCTCAATAAAACAGTGAAATTAGACGTAAACCCCAGGACGAAGGCATGTGTGTGGCGATTGTAATGCTTAGGCTGCGTTGTTTACCTCGGGCGTCGTCTACTAGGGTACCCTCCATCTTAATGTCGTAAAATGGAAGATAGACCGAACGACGAAAGAGTAACACCTTGCACTCGCGGTCACAAGCCGTCTTCTCCCGGCGAGACCATCTCCGCATTGCCAACCCGTCGTCTCTTGGTACAAAACTAACTCAAGAATGGACTGACCTAAAACTGAAGGAAAGTTGTACACTAAGGCCGGACGATCGGGGCCGTACGATCGTAGTTAAAGGGTTGGACCGTGGTAATGCGGAGCCACCCAAGCAGACTTCAGTTGGTGACGAAGACGGGGTCAAGGACGGACGAGGACAGGTCCTAGCAATAAGGCCTTGAGCGACCGAATACCTCCAGGTCGCCGCATAAGTCGCCGGACGATTCTCTTCCTCAGCGTTCGGTCCGATCGTCTGGGCTCGGGGCGTTCGGTACAATGGCAGAGGTCATGTCCGGGGACGTCGGTCAAAGGTCGGGGTCCAAGACGGGGTCGTCGCCTACAAAGGCCGGAGTCAAGACCGGGGTCGTCGGTACCAAGTCGGGTCAACAGACGGGGTCGTCGGTACCAAGGTGGGGGTCAAGACCCGGGGTCGTCGGTCCAAGGTCTCGGAGTCAGGACCCGGGGGCGTCGGTACCAAAGCTGAGGGTCGGGGAGCAGAGGGCAGGCTTGCGGTCGAGGGGCTACAGGACAGCCGCATG